GGGCTGCATACGGTGTATCGCTCGCGTCCCCCCCCCCCCCTCCGCACTCAACCTACCAGTGTGCATGTTGATGACGTACGCCATGCCGAAGAACAAGTTGCGGCACAGCTGGGAGAAGAACAGCGCCAGGATGAGCAGCAGGCCCTGCCACAGCGCCTGGCTTTTGTCGTCGATGAAGGCGAGGATGAGCTTCTGCAGGAAGGCCGGGCCGACGAACTGCAGGACGATGGAGACGGCCATGAGCACGATGGAGATGAGCGTCCTCGTCCTGCAGAAGCGCCACACGGCGCTGCCGAGGGACGTCCCGGCGCCGTGCTTGCCCACGCGCCGCCCCCAGATGCTCTCCAAGCGACGGGCGCTCTCCGCGGCGTCGTCGGCGTCCTGGAATAGAGCAACAACCGTTCAGGTTCGAGTCCCGGCGGCGGGCACCAGATTCACGTACAAAGTGCACGTTGTGCCCGAACAACTCACAGCCAGGTCGTAAAAGTCCTCCTCGGTGAGCCCCTTCCGGAACGCCTTCCACATCATCCTCGTCAGCCAGTTGATGGTGATGAAGGAGAAGAGACCTGCCCTGTTCGCGGGCATGGTATTTTTGGTCTTCCTGTGGCATTGAAACATCTTTCAGTGCTCTGCACGAAGTCGAAACTTACAAAATGATATAAAATACATTTAAGGTCGCCGCGTCACTGTGCGAACCCTTACCGCGACGACACTCTGCAAGGTAGGAGGACCTTGAGGGCGTCCGTGTATTTGCTGCATCCTGACTTCTGTGGCGCGGGTCTGCTGAATCTGCAAACAAGACAGAGTGCGGGGTCAGGAAACGACTGGCCCAGCACACCCTGACCCTGACCTGCAGGCTGCCCTCAGCCACCACGGCAGGGGCTGGACTGGGCCGCCATCCGCCCTTACAGCAGCAGGTGCGCGACGGGCCACTGGGACTGTACTGTACGCCTGAGCTGAGTACTTCAAGTGGTCACGTCCCGCGTCCCTCACTAAGTAATCACCAGATTGGTCCACGTCATTTACGGTTACGGTGGACATTGTTTTCAGCAGATGAAACATCTTACACAACAGAAATAAATAAGACATGACATCGCCAAATGTGTCATCGCTTGTACTGTCATGTGGTGTGCATATGAACATTTCTTTCCAAATAAATGGGTAAATAAGAACAAGACATTGGTTCTTCATTTTGTATCATCTGCTTTCATGGCCAAGTTCCCTGACGGAACTTTTTGAGAAGACTACCTCAAAATCTCGGGAGTTTTTGGTCCAACTAAAGAAGTTTCTCAAAGTTTCCCCCTTTTTCCTCCACCCTGAACTTCCCTTACGGTGGAGACAGTCTTGGGGACTGTCCAAAAAGATGTTTGATATTTTTTCAAATTTATTTGAGAGCGTCGTCTCAGACTGCTCAGACGCCCCTTACGGTTCTTCTTACCCGTTCTGTTTGTTAGAGGCGTTCACGTCGTAGCTCGCCCGGCCGATGCTCGCCGACAGGGTGGAGATTGGTTTCTCGTTCTCGTCCATGATGTCGTCCTGCTGATCATAGACAACGCGTCACACAAACGGCCACCAGTAAGAGAAAATGATGTTTTTAGAGCGGACACTGCGGTTTTGCTAGATTGCAGACTCGCTGGACTCGTAGGGGCTATGGTGCCTTACACCGCGAAGAGAGGAAGGCCAACCCCGCACAAACTGTGGTATCCACTCTGAAACACTCGGTATACGGGAAAAGTCACCCAACCCCCACCCCCACCACCCCCCTTTTCATCGAGATGAGTTACAGGACAGCAAAGCGATTCCGCACAGCGTTTTCTCGCGCCCTATCTCTCTCCCACCAATCGGCGGAGTCCTGTTAGTGCGACAAGGAGGGAAGTACGAAAGCGCTGCTCGGAATCGCTCTGCAGGTGGCGCCCGGGGTATGGGAGACAGATGACCGGCGGCTTGTGCAATTGGATGATAAGGCCTTCCTTGGAAGATTCAAGGTTTCGCGGCGGCGGGGAGAAGTGAGTGGTGCTTGAGTCGGCCTCCTCCCTCGAAGATCACCCCCCCCCCCTCCCCGTACTCTTCCCTTGCATCCCCTCTCGCACCCGCCCCTTCCTCATTCTCCCATCACACCTCCGCCTCCGTGTAACTACTGACAATCCGATCCGTAGCCATTCCGAATTTCTCGTGCGCGATCTCCTCTGATGCTCGGTCAAATCTTCAGAAGTGCACGAACTCTGGCGTCCGGTGCCGGTGTTGCGCGTCCACGCACGCTCGCTCGAGATAAGTTGTCGCGAGCTTTTGCCCGCGGCGAACTATAACAAGGCGATTTGCACAGAATGGCGAGACAGATGACCAGGGTCAGCCGGTCGGCTCCGCGCACTTCCACTAATGTGACAAACGTCACATTAGCACGTGCTTTAGCACGTGCAAAGCACGTTCTCGTCGTGTCAGTTACACCAAGTCACGGCAAATACCGGGTGTCCGGGAGAATACGCGGCAGCTCGATGGGTTGCCTACGCACTGGCGTGCAGGCGCAGAAGGCAAGGGGGAGCGGAGAAGGTAAGGTAGCGAGAGGCAACCTAGGGAGCCCTCCAGGCTTCCTAGAGGCAACCGGCCGCCTCCCGCCACCTTCCACTCCCCCCTCGCCTCCCGCGCCAGCACGCCAGTGCGTAGGCAACCCATCGAGCTGCCTCACATTCTCCCGGACACCCGGTACCAGGCACGAGTCGAATGGTGCCCCCACAATGTGCGCTTGCCCGAGGCGACGCTTACAAAAACGCCTGCTAAACACTGGGTAGGCCAGCCCGTCAGGCACTTGCGCGAAGCCGGCGGCCCGCCCTGAGGTGCAGGCAGGGGCTACCGCGTCGCTTCGGGGACTTGCACCTTTATTGCTTTATTCACACGATGAGATGGGGATTGACAAGTGCAAAGGGGGGCGGGGGAGGGGGGGGGGCTTATAACTATTTCACATCGCGAGTGAACTAAAATTGTAAATAAAATGTGGCAAGACACGCGAGGGGACAATTAATAACTTGATTGCTGTAGTTAACGTCATGTAGAATTCGTAGAATCCATAGACAAAGCCTAAGCCTCTAGAGGTTATTCACCGGCCTTCACATCGTCTTTAGAATAACGATGAAGATAACCAGGAACACGCATGGTTCTAAGCCGAACAATAAAAGTTTAAAACAGGCAGTAATAGCGAGGACCGGCTCGTTATTGCTATTTGCTAGGTGAAATTTCAGAAAAAAATAAAATGGCGCTTTGTAATTTCAATTGCCATTATTCCAACATTTATTGTCACACAACCACCAAACAGAAAACAAACCCCTCCATAGACGCACCCACAACACAACACACACTTACGTTCCCAGTGCGAAAGTGCATGCTTTAAATTGACTATGTTTACCACTAATATAAATTATGAAATACAGGGTGACCCACAGACCCCTTCGTTTACTTTGCTTATACTGTACTGCATGCACGCAGGGCTTGCCTACTGTCGCTCACCGCGGTGCCTCGCGGCCCCGTGCGAGTATGCAACCCGGCCGCACGCCTGCATCCGGTACAGTATAAGCAAAATAAAGAAAGGGGTCCGTGGACCACCCTGTCACCCTGTATACTTGTAATTTGATATTCCTGTTCGGAGAATCGACAGTGAAATTTCGTACCTTTTTTTTCTTATTCGACGGTGCTGGAAACTACGCTCGCGTTGTGTGTCCCGCGCTACAGCCCGGCCATGACTGGGGATGCAACTCACGCTGCCGCCTCAAATGAAACTCACGAGCCGAGATAACCGTATTCACGTATGTTCATCGTCCGCTTCTTTTTAATCAGTGCGCGTTATCTGCAGAGTCGGGACTTCGCGGGGACCCAGACCCAGGGCCGAGAGGAGTGGGGGGGGCCTCCCTTGTACCCCCTCCCAACAATTTTCATGCGTCGCTTCCATATCTTGCGAGACATTTCACACGTTTCTTAATCAATTTTGCACAAATGACTCGGCAGAAGATATGTGCCTCTCTCTCCTGCTGTTCAATCTCGCGCCCTTTCTTCAGTCACTGTGTGATCAGCTGTGCTCTGCGTCCTATGCCGGCACCTCTGAGTTTGCGACAGAAGTGGCAGGTAGTACAGATGGAAAGAGGGCTTCTCTGTTCTTGAATTGAATCGGGGCAAAGCCACGAGCACCTAGATCTATTTCTATGGAGTCGCTCTAACGCCAAGACGGCCGTGTAATCAGAAGGCAGGCACAGTATCGATTATCAGGACTCGATCTCGATCACACAGCGCACTGTTCGGCCGACTGTATAGCGTAGGCCAGAACGCTTTAGCAAGAGGAGTGCCCTGGTAGGGTAGCAGCGGGTAGCCGTTCAAAATAACGTTATCCGAACCTTGTTTGGTGCAACGAAGGGCTAGCGCACGACGAACCTGACCGATAGTTATGTTTTGTTTGTGATTGGTCATTGGCGCACACACTGATGGCCTAAGTGGGAAACAGATTTACACTTAAGTGTGCAAATGCAAGTTGAGTAGTTGCAAGAGGCTAATTCGGTAGCTGTGCATTTGTAAGTGTAAGTGCGTGCAACTCCTTTGTTGAACACTTCCTTAGAATGAACGCTCAATGTCTTCAACTTCAACTTCAATGGGGAAGTGTTAAACAGAGGAGTTGCACACTTGCAATTGCACAACTCCCGAGTTCAACACTTGCAACGGTACTACTCAGCTGAACACTTGCAAGTATTCAAACTTGCATTTGGACACTTGGTTCATCAGTGCAGGCACGTTGTTCAAACAAGCGGTCACGTTGGAGGGAAGTCGGCATTTCACAGCGCAGGCACGCAAGTAGTGAAAAGTGAAGAGTGAATAGTTATATTATCGATTCAGAACTGCGTGCGGAATAGCGAGTAATCATATTGCCCGCTGTGTCGTCGCTGAAACTAGCGATGGCATTTGCTGCACCAACCGTTTGACCCTAGTTGACAACAGCTGCTAGCTGCCGCCGCAGAACAAGCTGCGTGCTGCGTCCACGCTATCAGACAAGGGACGTCGACGCACAATCTCGGCCCGTAAGGATCCAGAGCTAATGCTTCTCTCCAAGCTCGCGCTCCTCGTGCTCGTTAGACCTGGCTTAGCATATATCCGACTTTGCTCGAGTCTGAGCCGGGAACCCAGAAGAGAGGGGCTCTTACGACCAACAAAAACACTCGGCAGCAACAGCAAAAATAACATCTTTTCTATAAGGTGTGACATCTGAACACTGTACATTCCACGCGGGGTGCTATTCAAATTCAAGTTTCACCACGCAGGTAGCTAGAGACACCTGCTGAAAACTGAGTCTTCTAGAGCTCACTCACCCGTGCGGCGGTCTACGCGGACTGAGCGCGCGGCGGGGCGCTGTGCCGGTTGAGCCGCGCCGTCTGGGGAAGACCATGGCCGGGGTAAACGACCTGCGGGGCGGTTGGCTGGGTGATGAGCTGGGCTCGGCTGCGATCAACTTGCCCCAGTATCGCAGAGGAGCGGAAGTACGAAAGTAAGAGTGGCAATAATAATTGTAGTTAAAGATGTGTTTTATTTTTAAAGGTAAAGATAATAAACAGTGGAACAAAAGACGCGAAAAGAGATCAGCTCTAATCCAACAGCCTAATGGTAACGGACGCCGTCGGCGCAGCTGCTTTGTAAGTCAGCAGCAGGTGAGCAGGTGCCGTCGAGAAGATGAACTATCAGTTAGTCTCTCAGAATGCGCTGATACGGCGACTGTCATCGTCCCCCGTGACGCTCGCAGGGGCAGGTCCCGCAAGTCCTCAGCGCGCCACCCTCGAGTATGGATGGGCGCGCAGCCAGCAGCCCACTAGGGCCAGCCCTCTAGGGCCGCGGGGCCACGCCCAGAGCCGGCTCGCATAGGGAAGTCTGTCTAAAGTTGCAACTTTGTATACATCAACCCGGGCAATCTAGTCATTTTCGTCAATCTTCTGATTTGGGGTCCAAAAGCTATGCATTTTGCCTAAACATACAGGGTGAAACGGGGTGGAAGTCGTGCGATTTGACTGGCGTTTTCCGTCCAAAGATCAAAATATTTCACGAGCAATCTGGCAATACTGGCAATCTGGCACTTGACCAGACCCTTTAGGTCTGGCAGGTCTTGCCGCCCTCGAGTCGAGTCGGCCACGTCCAGAGCTGCTAGCTGCTCATGTCGTCGTGGGCGTAGCAGGGAAGGAGTCTTGCCCGAATTCTCTCCTTTGATGAGAACGAGGAGTGAGATCGGCTGTCGTCCTGTGAGACTATCTCTATCGCTCCGACGAGACGCGAGGGACTTCCGACGCCGGCTTACGTCATGAGACTGGTTGACTGACTAGCAGATTCCGAAGACGCGGTGCACTCGAGCAGGACCAGACTTACGTATCTCGATGGCTAAATCGCTCTCAAGATGGTCTCGTCAGAGGCCCTGGCTGTGGCTGAGGTGAGCTTGAGACCAAACATACCTGATGGCGTAATGGCCGACAAACGTATGTTCAGCTCTTTAAAGTGTCATCGAAAGTATCAGATTACCGTGTCAAAAGTTGTAGGTTTTGCAGGGAAATTTTTTTTTTATGAAGCGAGTCGTTAAGTTAAGTTACGATTCAAAACTGTAAAATTTACAGCACAACTGACTGACTTTGAATCAATCGACAATCGACGAGCAAGATAAGGGTGTCATCAACTTTCAAAATGTTTTGTAAATTTTAATAACAAAATGTATCGTAAATTTACGGTGATATTTTCCACAGTGATGTGCACGCAGCAACTGCAGCGTTTACGCAGTCACTGCTCGATGGCCGCTGGCCCGATACCGATCGCAGAGCGAGTGGCGACAGAGCAAGAAGGTGCGCCCCACCGAGCTGGAGCTGGCCGGTCGCGGCCCATCCGAGCGCTAATGTTGGCCTACCGCCCCGGCGCTGGCACTGCAGGTATCGCGCCGGCCGTCGCCACCGCCAGCCACGCGCCGACGCGGCATGAGTTGCCTATGTGCCGGGGTGCCCGGAGGGGCCTGGGAGGCCCGGGCGCCGGCGCGCTGCCTCGACCCGGGCCCTGACTGATAACCGACCAAGAGCGCTATCGACACTTTCCAATCCGCGGCCCGCCCTACCCGTTTCGGACCCGACCGACCGAACGGTAATTTAATCTATTTTCGCATCAGATTGCAAGCGAGTTTAAAGCCGCAAAGAAACAAA